GCAGACAGGTGTTGAATGTCAACTCTGACAGCTTTGCATTGGCTGCTAGGGAAAGGCGATGAGAAGGCTCACCAATGGGAGAGAGTAATGTGGTTGATTAAGAATGTCCGCTGTGGACATAGGAAGCGGGTGGCAGCATGGAAAACAGATGTTTGTCATCTCTGGGCACATTTCTTAACTTCTTTGGGTATCAGTTATATCACTTACAAAACAAGGTTAATAAAGCCTTACCTGAGTGAAGGTAGAAGGCTGGCCAAGATGGTTCTTTTTTTAATGTTCTCTGAGGGCACTTTCTGTCCCTAGGTGCATATATTCCAGCTCATTTTATGCATATTGTTCCATCATGTAGTCATGAAAATTCATTAGTATGTGTAGGATGGGCTGCGGAAGGGAACTCAACAGATTGAGTCATTGAAAACTGCTCCTAAAAAGAGCAGAGACTTTGACAGGAAGAATGAATCATTTATTGGCACTTAAGGGTGCCAATCATTGCTGCCCTACCAACCATCTGTGAGCTGAATATGCCTCCTGGTCTGTAAATCCAAGGCCTGTATTTCTCAGTTTGGGGTGATGTGTAGGGGAGGCATGAGCCTTCAGATACCTGTGCCTCATCTTTTCAGTGGCGATGTGGGGAATACGAGCAATGTCTTTTTCATAAGGTAGACAAGATGTACTAATCAGGATCCCAGTGGGAAATAGGTGGTATACTCAAAGGGGTTATTTGAAGAGATTTGAATAGAGATCCTATTTCCAGAGCTATGGTCCGGATTAAGGGAACCAACAAGGGGCAGTGAGATCATCGGTGACTAGCAATGCAGGAGACCGTTACCACACACAGCCTGAAGGAATGACAGGAGGGGGAGGTGTTACTGGGACCTGTGAGTGCTGTGGCTGATCTAGAAGGCTGCTCAACCGAGCCCTGGCTATGGGAACTTAGCAGCTACCCAGACTCCTGCCACACAGAGAGAGGTGGGGAGTTAATAACCAGAATGGTCTCTCCTCCCATCTGCTGACAGCCAGAGGGTGAGGGACACATGGAAGGCAGACCTCTTGGACCATGCAGCAGGGCAGAGCGGGGTGAATATCTAGATAGACACATGGAGAAGGCCCAGCACACATGAACAGACGTGTACAGTGGGATACATATGGAGAATCACGTAAGCTTTAAAGATGCCACATCAGAGTTGAGCAGGGAGGAAAGAGGGAGCAGTGAGGTGTGGGGAGCCACATTCATCTTGAGTTGGGGGCCAGCCATCAGCCTGGGAGGAGGAATTTGGAGCTTTTGTGAATATTTTCTTGAGTGGTAACTAATGTTTTTCTTGAATTTTACCCCCCACCCCCACCCCCTCCCCCGGACCTCAGAGCAGATGCCTCCATGAAGGCAGATAAAGGCCTATACCTGCATTGCCCAACATGGCAGCCTGGAGCCACATGTGGCCATTTAAATTTTAATGAAATGAATTAACATGAAATACAGTAAAAAATTTAGTTCCTGAATCACACCAGCCACATTCCAAGTGCTCAATAGTCACACACGGCTATGCTGTATTAGATATGGCATCACGTTTCCATCACCACAGGGAGTTCTCTTGGGCAGACTGGCCAGGATCCTTGTCACAGCCCTGGAGGGCTAGGGGGCTGGCCACAGGACTCAAAAGCTGTCTTCATCCGCCGAATCCTCTCCTTGATGACAAAAGACTCTGCGCAGCCAGCAAAACAGTCATGATGATAATTGCAGCCCACAATGATTTAGTTCTTTAACATGAGCTGAACAGTATGCTAAGGATTTTATCTCCATTTTAAGGATGCAGAAACAGGCCTAAAGAAATGAAGGGACCACGCAATATTAAGTTGCACTGCATGACATTGCCAATACTCAGGGTTGTTTTTATGAAAATGGCAGTTTCACATGCTTCAACATCACAATACATAGCAGAGCCAGGTTTCAAATCCAGAGCCAAAAGTCATGTCAAGTTCAATGTGGCTAAGCCTCTGTAAGTGATCATCTTGAAACCCACTTCATTGGGCTGTTGAAGGATTAAGTGATGCTGATTCTGTGCCTGGCGCACAGTGGGGCTCATGGAATGTTGGTTTTTTGTTTTGTTTTGTTTTCATTCCCTTCTGTCTGTCAGTCTCATTCTCTTGGGAGGCAGAGCACAGCTGTTTCAACAGATGTGGCTAGTGAGGTTGGGAGGTGGGGGCTGCTGTCATTTACCAGATCCCCTCCCAGGGACCTGCAAAAGTTCATCTTCCTCACCAAGACCTCCTGCACCCCCACCCCTCTCTCTCTCAGGGAGCTGCCTCTGTGGGGCTCCTTGGGGTCATTCTCTCAGGGCCTCCAGCAGGGGTTGGGGTGATGAACACCAGTCCTTCCTGTTCCCTGTCTCCTTAAGGGGCAGCTGCTGCCCTGAGCATGGCAGGTGGTTGCATAAACTGTGTTCCGACCTCCTGCCTGTTGTAACTCTGTTTCCATGGTTCCTTCTGGCAAGGAGCCTCATTCAAATTCCTCCCTCTTACTTGGCAAGAGGGAGAGAAGTCCCTTTGGTGGAGGATCCTGCTGTTTAGATGGGGTTTTAGGATTGTGGGGGTGTGTGTAATTTCCATCCATATGAGGAAGCTTTGTCTCCCAGAAGCAAATGGAAACAGAGGGTGCCCACTTAAATTTGAATTGCAGATAAGCGGGAGTTAATTTTTTTAGTGGAAGTATATACCATGCAATTCTTGGGACATACTTCTAAACATTATTTACTCATCTGGAATTCAAATTTACTTGCGCATCCTGTATTTTAACTAGGTTACCATCCAAGAAATAGTGGGGTTTCTGTCCACCCTTCAGATGCCAAGGCACTTGGGAGTAAGGGGGAGGGAAACCTGGCCTAGGTTTTTCCAGCTGCATCCTAGTTTTGCATTCAAAGGGAAGTGATTTAGACCATGGTTCTCAGGATGTGTTCCCTGGACCAGCAGCATCAGCATAACCTTGTAGCTGGTAGAAATACAAATCCGTGGATATCACCCCGACCTACTGAATCAAAGACCCTGGGGGTGGGCTCAGTAATCTGTGTTTAATAAGCCCCCCAGATGATGCTGATGCAGTTTGAGAACCACACGTTTAGACTTCGGGCAAGGGCCTTAGGGATCAGACAGACCAGGTTGGAGGGTTGATCTCACTATTTACTGACTGTGCCAACTTGGCTGAATTACTTAACCTCTCTGAGCTTCTGTTTCTTCCTCAATAAAAAAAGAAAAATTGTTTCTTCTTGAATAAAAAACAAGGTACAGGCAGTCCTCGGGTTACGTTGGACTCGATGTACGTCATTTCGTGGTTACATCGCCATCTCCCATTTATTTATTTAAAAAAAAAAAAAAAAGGTCCGTCATTTTGACATATGTACATATTTGCTTTATGTTTTTTATTATTTACCACAAGTAAAGGTCAGGAATTATCTTTCTTTTAAATTTTTTTATTGTTACACTTCATTACTGCTGTGTATGTGCTCCATGTGAGTGATGTAGGTGCTTATGTAGGTGGGTTCTGACTTACAGGGAAAATCGCATAGGAACGGATCTCCGAGGACCTACTGTAATACCTAATTTAGGGATATACCATGGTATCAAGGGTAAAATGAGGTCAAATGTTATAAAATACAACCTGTATTTGTGCCTGTAATTGTAAGAACACACAACATGATTGTTTTTACGACACGAGCATGATCGGTCCAGTCATGCCCTGAGACACGTTGGATGGTCAGCATAGCAAAACTTCTCATTATTGGGCCAATCTCTGTTTGCTCAGTTCAAACACACCTTTAATTCCCAGGGCTTCAATTCCCAGGAGTCCTATGGAAAAAGGAAGAAATTCGGAGGAAAGGGGGCAAGGAGAGAAAGAACTTACACCCTATGGGAGCTGGCTTTCTGACTCACAGACAGAGCCCAGAGTAGAGGGCCACATCGATTTAATTCACTTTGTTCAGTACTCGGCCCAGAATAGTCCCCCAAAGGCAGAGTTTTTTGGTTTGTTTGTTGAAAGTGAGGGAAAGGAGGCCTAGAGAGGTGAGGACATGTGTGGGCTCCTATCAAGGGAGAAGCGATGAGCACACTTTAGCATGTTTCACAGGTCGAGTCTGGGGGCTCGCATGTTAACCGCAGACCAGGGTTTCTCAGTGTTGGCTCTGTTGATATGTTTGGGTCAGGTAATTCTTTGCTATGGGGCTGTCCTGTCCATCTTTAGTAGCATCCCAGGTCTCTGCCTACTAGATGCCATTGCTCCCTCATCCTTCCTCACAATGGTGACAGCCAAAAGCATCTCTAGAAAATGCCAAGTTTCCAGGGGGGTAGGGGGTGGACAATGACCAAGTCTCCCTGGATTGAGAACCATCGGTCTAGAGAATCTAGTAGACAGTACCCTAACTCAAACAGTTTTAACAGCTTCCATTTATTGAGCATTTACAAATATTACCTTCATTCTCCATGCTCATATTACAGGGTGGTTTCTTATTACCTACACTTTACAGTTGAAGAAGCTGAGGCTCAGACAGTTAAAGTAACTTGTCCCAAATCCTACAGCTGGCAGATCCGGGCTTCCGACTGGGATTGGTCTAACGCCAGGGCTCATATAGTTCTGATGCAACATTCCCTCTCTCTGGAAAATCAAGGATTTCCTTTCTTCAATGTAAGGAAATTCTTCTCAAGTGCAACTCAAGTGCAAAAATATTTATTGAGAAGCCATGAGAAGCTACAAGAGAAAGCTAAGAAGTCGCTCCTCCCAAGGAGTTCTCATATCAGTGTCATTGGGACGATCAGACTCTCACACAACACCATATGAGGCTGTCTGAGTCTGGGTTCAAACAAACATTCATGAGGTAGAACTCTGTGAAATGAATGCCCTTTGTGTATGTCTGCCTCATGTGTCCTTTCACGGGCAATCCTGACGATAAAAAAATAGAAGGCGGAAGGAAGCCTTGAAGGTTGCAGGATCTACCAGCCACGTGGCCTCTGGAACCTTAATTCTCTTGCCTTGGGGTGGGCTGTGGGTTGCTTTCAGCCAAGCACTCAGCCATCTTTTTTCTGGCTCGCTGCACGAAGTCCACCTTTCCCCTTTCCCTTCGTATGGCAGTGTACTCATAAGCCTTGAGCTTGCTGTAGTAATCGGAGAACTTGTTGTAGAGAATGGAGATTGGCATCCCGTTGAGGATAATCCCAAAAGCAATGCAGAGGAAGGCAAAAAGCCTGCCCAAGTGCGTCTCTGGGTACATGTCTCCGTAGCCCACAGTGGAGATGCTCACCTGTATGGGACGGAAGGCAGGGTTGAGTTGTTAACTCCGTGAGGGAGGAGGAGAAAGGGATGGAACAGGCAGGGAGTAATCTGTCTCCCTGAAGGTGCACATGAGCCATGTAAGAGCTCCCCACGGAGGCAGCTCTAGGAGGTGCCAGGACATTTGCCTGCAGGACCCCTGTCATGGAAAGAACACAAGCTTTGGGGTTGCAAGACTTGGGTTTAAATCCTGACTACCACTTCTAATTTTCTTGTAGACAATGCAGGAGAGAGAAGACGGCCGGGGCCAGCTTTAGGACTGGGGCCCTGGGTTTGCCTAAATGATACACATACTGAAAAGAGCTCAGGCTTAGCACCAGTCAGACCTGGGTTCAAGTCCCTACTCCGACCCTTCCCAGCAGTGTCCTTGGGTAAAACATTCAGTCTCAGCCTTGGTTCCTTCCTCTGAACAGGAGGATATTGCCTAACTCTCAGGATCCCTGTGAGGACTGAGTAAGAAAACAGCTATCAAGCCCTTAACCCAGTGTCAGGCACACAAAAGGCACTAAACAACCTCGTCTGCGGTCCTTCTCTCATCTTTAAACTGGAGGCGATTATAACACCGTTCAGGATTAAGTGATTCCAATGAGATATTTGATATAAAGGTGCTTTAATTGCAAATGTTTGGAGAAACATATTCTCATTATGCTGTGAAGGGATTTTTTAAAGACATCACCAACCAAAGACAGTTCACTCTGCATGAAAGTCTTCCCAAACTCTAGTCGCCGTGCTTTAGATTCCGCTAAGTAGAGATTTATTTAGGTTGTCAAGCTTCCGTTTTGACATGCAGATCCATGGAATTAGTTACCAGTCAGGGGAGCGAGAGAGAAAACTAGGAAAATCTCTCGGGGCTTGTTTTGTATGCCTCATGTACTAAGACTCCCTTTATCCCCAGACTATTGGCTACATTAGGCAGGGCTGCTGCCTGCAGTTGTAAACACTGTGCATTGCACAACTCCAGGGGGCACTGTGTGCGTCATGGATTTGTGTTGTTGCCACAATTTCCCAGCAGGTGGCAGTAAAATGTGCGAAGTCATCCTGTTCCCTGCACCAAAATGGCCTTTACTTTAGAAATGCAAACTTTATTATTATTTGTTTATAATGTAAGGGTCAGTTTGAACTTAGAACGAGTGTGATGGATTAGGTAGAATGAAATGAAGAATTGAGCCAGCTGGGCAAATCTGATGGGGCTGATAAGCACTGGAGCTCCATCCAGCCCTTAAAAGAAACTTGTACCTCCCCTTTGGGGCAGGTGACCCACCACCTCTCACTGCTCCATCCTTGGCGAGAGACCTGCTGAGGGATGGGCTGTCCACAAACAAGCATCTAAGAGAGGCAGAATGGTGTAGACTGGTTTAAGGAGACAAGTATGGCACTAGGCCAGTGGTTCTCAACCTTGGCTGCACATTAGAATCACCTGGGAATCTTTTTAAAATCCTGATTTCTGGGCCTCATCCTCCGGAAATTCTGTTTCTTTGTTATGGGGTGGGGCCACAACATTAGTAACAAAGAAAGAATTTCCAGAGGATGAGGCCCAGAAATCAGGATTTTAAAAAGATTCCCAGGTGATTCTCATGTGCGGCCAAGGTTGAGAACCACTGCTCTAGGCTATATGGATCCGAATCCACTTCTCAGATGTGTGTCTTGGGCACCTACATTGTCTCTGCCTCCATTGCCACTTTTGAAATGGGGGGAGAATACTACTACCTCACAGAGTAGTGAGAATTGAAGGAGTGCCTGACGCAGTGTGTGTGTGATAATGTTAGTTCTTAAGCTTATTAGACTGACAGGCTGTGGAAGCAGGTCCCTCTTGACTCCTGCAGAATGCTCCGAGGGAGACTGGCTGGGGCAGACACTCGCTCCAGGACAGAATCGCTCTTTCCTACCTTCTGGATCAAAGGTGATGAGAGATCGTGATCAACTAAGAGTGTGGGTTAATCTCCAAGTGTGTGTGTGTGTGTGTGTGTGTGTGTGTGTGTGTGTGTGTGTGTTTCCGTGTGTTTCCTGTCACTGGCCACAGCAAAAGTAAAAGAACCTGAGTCAGATCTCTGTCAGAACTGAACATATGTCAGTAACAGCATCGCTCACACCTCTGTATGAATGTTTGGTTAGTCTCCATTCCCTGCAGGAGGCCTAAAGGGAGTCTGGATAATAAGGGTGAGGGACAAGAAGGGTAGAGTTGGAACAGGAAGCTTCCATGAAAGGCCAAAGCTGAGGCTTTTAGGTGAACCAGTCCTTCGAGGGCTCAGGATTGGGGAGGGTGGGGGCGGAATGGGGTGCAGAGGAAGGAAAAGAATTGAGACAAAGTGCCTTTTTAAACTTCTGGTCAATCCTGATACTGGCCTTGCCTCACTCCCAAAGCAATTTCATGTCTTTCTTTTTTCTTTATTGGCTGAATGTTTAGTGAAAAGCTAAAAGCAAAGCTAATTGTCGTAAGGAAGATTAAATATTTGATGTGCATAATATGGTCTGAATATCTTTGTATATCTTGGATCTCTATTTTTAGAGAAAAGATCTCTCCTGCTAGGGGCTCTGTATGACGGGTGTGGAAGAATTTGTTCAAAATGCATAGCTAATTTATGCCTTGTCGGTTTTGTGGGTAATTTGACTCAGCCGGTGATCTGGGTGCTCCTTGGCTCCAAGAGGAACTCGGGATTCCTTGGCTTTAGGTTACTTTTTCTCCATGTTCCACACGCCCAACCATTTCTCCCTGGATGAGCGTTAAACATTGAAGGCCCCAGACTGACCCATATGAGTTTGCAGATTGAGTTCTCACATTAGCACCAACTGGGTTTGGAAATGTGGCCAAAATTTCTACAATCCATCTTTTAAAAAACACACACAACATAACAGCAGCTTTATTGAGGTATAATTTGCATAATATGAAATTCACTTGTTTCAAGGGTACAGTTAAATGATTTTGAGTGAATTTACAGAGTTGAGCAATCATCACTAAAATCCATCTTTAGAACATTTCCATCACCTCAAAACATCCCTTGTTCCCATCTGTCACTACTCTGAATTCCCATCTCCAGTCCCACGTAACCACTAATCTACTTGCCTTCTTTGTAGATTTGCCTCTTCTGGAAATTTTATCTGGCTTCTTTCACTCAGCCTAATGTTTCTGAGGTTCATCCAGTTTGTAGTATGTTCTATAATCCATCTTAATATCCTGAAAAACTGGCTGGCTCAGCCATTCTGTAAACTGGAAACTTACCATTCCATTGAAAACTTACATATTTTCCCTAGCCTTTGGGTCCCAAAAGCCCGGAACGTGACTTTCCCCTAGCAGCTCACCCACTAATCAGCAAATCTTGGCCTGCTAAACATTACAAGGAGGACAAGCATCCAATTTTTCTCCAAAGCTGTAGAATGGCTATACTTGAATTTCTCCTTCAACAAGGAATGTTTCTTTCATCATGAACTAGGCATGTATGAAACCTTGGCAGCCAGTAATTCATGAATCTTGAAATTATGATCCCAAGGAATAAAACTGATTTTTAAAAATAATTAACATTCCTTCTTATTTTTCCAAAAAAAATTTAAGACTAAGATGTTCCGGCTAAAATCATTACATACCTCAGTCCTTCAAAGGACTTAGCTTCAAAGGCTATACTTAGGCTATACTTAGGCTATACTTAGCCGACCCAAATATTTTAGGAATTCCTCTTTAGGATTATAATCTGCACAGAGGATTCAGTGGAATGACCTTGAAACAAGTGGTCTTATTGGGCCACAATTAGGACACAGTTATCTGATGCCTCAGCTTGAGGACTAACTTTCGATGCCAATATTAAACTCAGGGGTCTAGACTATTTTAAAGTATTGAATCTACTCTCAAAAAGGTAAAGATTAAGCATGATTAGAAGGAAGCAAATGGACATGTCACAGACTCTGAAGATAGTTCTTCAGTGAAATTCAAAGACTGTTTTGACCAGCGGAAGCACTGTTAGAATCACATCATAGGTGACCACCTGGAAGAGAACAACCAGCTCATCTACATATTATAGGTCTGACACGTACATAAATTGCACAATAAGGAGGAGGTGTGCAAAAGCTAAAGCAAGCTTTGGAGTCTATGAATATACTCATAGAAAGGTGCTAATAATCTGATGCCCTCTGCATCTTCGGCTGACCTGGCACTTCTCTCTGCCCCCTACAATTCTGTCATGTCCCAGTCAATTCATAATGGTCAAACAGGAAGAGCATAGTTTAAAGAGATAGAAGGGGGCCACCCTCAAATCAGGAGTCCACAAGATCAAAAGTCATAAAGGTGCCTAGTAGCCTCTGTCCATTGACAGCTCCTGTGCTAGTTCTGTAGGAGCTAGAACATGAATTGCCGGCTGGGCCAGACATTTACCTGTTGTCTCTCAGTCCCAAGTCTGACACTCTTCTGAGCTGTATTTTGTAATTCTGCAACTGGGAGTCTGCAAACTACAATCCCCGAATTTCCTTGCCCACTGTCTTCTGGTTGTGCTCTGCCAATGAGAGACGCTGTTGGGAGGCTGGAAGGTACGATGAGGAGATGGGAGTCTCTATAGCTGCTTCTGTTCCTGGCGTCACCCTCCAATAAGAGCAGGTATTGATGGCCCAGGGACCTTTCAGCACACGTGGCATCAACCTCACGGTGCTAGCTCAGGGGTCCCTGCAACAGCTGCCCAGAGGCTCCTCCTCTGTACGCCGTGCTTGGTAACTCCCCCTTCTCCTGTTTGTTCCCCAGTTCTAGGGCTGACAGCTGTTTCCTACATTTGCCAATCTTTGGGTTATCTCAGTTTACCCTTTTTGCTTCTAGCCCTCTGGCACCTATGTATCTATTTCCCAGCATCAAATCTCCTGTTTAAAATACCCACACTGTTCTCCTGAGTATAACTTCACTGATTCACCTTCCAAATGGCTCTCCTCAATGCATGCAATCAATCCATAACAATACAGAATATATAGTGCCCTGACCGGGTAGCACATTTGGTGAGA